ATGGGATGGGATGGGATGGGATGGGATGGGATGGGATGGGATGGGATACCCGAAGCAGGAGCCCAGGCACCCGGCGTGTTCTCCGGGAGCGGCACCGAGGCTTCCTGAGCTCCAAACGAGCTCTCTCCCTGCCCTCACCTGCTCCCACCCCGGCTCGCTTCTCCAGCACTGGGAAGAGCCCCCCATGGCCGGGAATGCTGCTGCTGCTGCCTGTAGCTGATGGCCAACTTCTGTCTTTGGTGTGATTTGTTTGGTTTCAGCTTTTCCAGCCCCCCCAGCATTCAGCTACTCCCAACTTTGCTTGCATAAAACAAAAACCAAGACCAAAGAAACCCGTTTGAAACTCCCTTCCCTTGTGGGGAGGCTTGGGCTGTGTGCCAGGGGTGTCTGTGCCTCACCTGGAGGACAGGAGCATCGTGTGGAGCTGGAAACATCCGTGGGCAGGGTGGGCTCTGGCTCCTGTGGGAGTGAGTGACGTGTTTGTGGCGTGGCAGGAGTGTTTGTGAAGGGCTCTGTGTCAGAGCTGTCTCTGGGCTATCCCTGTGTCTCTCCATGGTGTTACAGACCAGCTTTTGCTTTTGAAAGGAATGAGATTTTCAACCTGAGTGATGGTGCAGGGCTTCCACCTCCCAGTCCACCCCAAACAATCCTTGTTACGCTGGAGCTGAGCAGCAGCACCGGCTTCTGCACCAAGTGCAGCATCCCTAAGCATGTAAGGCACCATCTGTGCTGGTTTATAAGGAACCCCTGAAATTGCATGTGCTGGGAGATGAAATGGGAATAACTGGCATTTTCAGAGTGTTTCCAAGCCCTGTCCACAGAAGGTTCCAGCTGCTAAAGACAGGAGTTGTTAAACTACAAATATAATCCCCAAAGCTGCAAGTACAAATTGTAAAACTGCCTTTATTTGTCTGCACCTCCCAGCTTTGCTATGGGAAAGAGGTAGAAGGGATTTCTGAAATGCTTTTAATGTTCACATCCTTTTTTTTTCCAGCTCTCTCCAGGCAAAATTCATCCTGGTGAAGATTTGCAGCTTCTCCTGTCAGAGCCACAGGAGTTTGTCACCTCTTGGAGGTTTGACAGATCTCTGTGCTCAGCCCTTTCCCCAGGCTGGAAATGGCTCAAAAGTTTCAAGAGCCCCCCAGGGCACATCCCCAAATTTCCCTCCAGCCCTTCCCTGTCCAAAACCAGGGTGATCTGGGTGTTTGAGGGACATGGAGCACTTTCCTCTCCTCCTGGCACCTCCAAAGCAGCAAGGAGACAGGGAAGGCTGGGGAGGATTTGTTTTCCCTTCAGGAGAGCGTGTTGAAGGTGCCACCTTGCAGGACACGTGTCTCACAGAGCAATCAGCAGTGCCAGGTCTGGGGTGTCCTGGCAGATGTGACACTGCTGGCTGTCACCCAGCTGGGGGGAGCTGGGAAGGGCTTTGGGGTGGGGACAGGGATGGGGACACACAGGGATGGACACAGAGCTGGGGACACACACAAGGCTGGACACATCTGGACAAGCAAAGCTCTGGACACACAAAACTGGGCACAGAGCTCTGCAAAGGAGCAGATCTTGTCCACACTCACAGACCCATAACACACACCTAGAGCCTCTCTGGCCTTTCTTCCTGCTTCACAGCTGGGTGGGAACAGAGACACGTTTTTGCCAGGATCTGGTTTTTCCACAACAAATCCCAGCACTAAATTCACTTATAAATAACCTCTGAGAATCAGCTCCAAAACACTCAGGGCTGCCTTCGTGTCCAGCCCTGGAAGCCAGAGGAGTTAACTTCCGAAGAGAAGTTTCATTCTCTGTTTTTCATCTGGAGAAGCAATTACAGGATCTATTGGTGTATTTGCTTCTCTTCTTAGCTCACCTTTACAAAAGCTGTGCAGCTTTTATTCGGTAAATCCTCAGAGGGTGCATTCAAACCTCTGCAGGGTCACAGGAAATCAAAAAGCAGCTGGCCCTTGCCCACAGTGTGGCTTGCCCTGGGTGGAAACAGCTTAGGACTTAAGAGGTGCCTCATCCTAACGACAGCAGTCTTTAAGTCTGGTGTTATAGAGGCTGGGTTGATAGCCTGAGCCTGCAGAAATGTGAGGGGAGCAGCAGGTTTGAACAAAGAAGTCATTTATAGGAGTGGAGTCACTGCTGCTGTGTCACCAAGTCCTCTGTCAGCAGCCTGGTGAGACCTGGCCTCTCCAGATGAATGTTGTGGGCAGAGCTGCACTGCCCAGCCTGGTTCAATATCAGCCTGGTGCTGGCTGACCTGAACATTTGACAGCTTTTCCTTCATCACTCTCTCCTGTGCAGGGAGGTTTGGGTCAGAGGAATGGTAGCACATCTTGAGGTGGAATTGCTTTCCATACATTTGAGCCCTCTGTGCTTGCTTTGCTGCATAAAGCAAATTGCCATTTGCCTCTGTTTAACTCCTCAGCAGCCAAACTGGGCTTTTTCTGTGCCAAAAAAAAAAGAGCAGCCTGACAGCACCCAAGCTCAGGTGACCAGAAAATGGGTGTTTTTTACAGAACCTGGTTTTTACACTGCCCCAAATCAGCAAAGGACAAGACAAGCAAATTGCACTGATAGTGCAATTATCAAAATCTCTGTCACTTGCTGCCTGATCTGTCCTAAACCACACTGTTTGTGTTTTGTGATTTATTTTCCTTTATTTGTGATTTATTTTTTTGGCCTGGCTCTGCTGTGTTGGTGTCCAGGGTGTCCGTGGAGGCTCTGGCAGTCCCAGGGGACACCCAGGCGACACCAAGGCCTGGGACAGTCCCTCCCATTCCCACAGGTGGCATTCCCGGGGTGGGGCTGTGTGGACAGGGAACAGGGAGGGTTTTTCCCTGATCCCACCATGGGGAGCTGTCCCCACCTGCCTTAACAAACCTCATCCCTCGAGCTGCTTTTTTCAGGGAATGTGTGACCAACACTCTGCTTTCCTCAAAGTCTCACTCCCCCACAGATCCAGGGCAGCACGAGAGGAGTCCCTGGCCAGCCCTGCTGCTGCGGTGGTTTCACACAATTCAGAGGAAATCCCGAATCTTTGGACCAGGAAAGGAAAATAGGAGCACATACAATAAATACCCGTAACCGTGCTGGGAGCCCGGGGGGAGCTGTGGCCTCTGGATCCAGCAGGGATCATTCCCATTCCCCAAGGACTGGGCAGGCTCCCACAGCCCCACCTGCTCCTGCTGGATCTCCTGCTGGATCTCCTGCTGGATCTCCTGCTGGATCTCCTGCTGGATCTCCTCCTGGAGGCACCAGACTCTGATGGGGATGCTGCAGGGGCTGTGACACTCCAGGTTGGTATCCCAGCCCCTCCCTGGCTGCCATCCTGTGGCTGTGGAATTCCCAGGAATGACCCTGCTGGTCAGCTTGGGGTGGAAGGGAATGGATGGAGAGAAATGTTGGATGGCCCTGGTGCTGCCAGGGGGCCTGGCTGTGTTTCTCCTGTCTGGATGCACCATTAA